ACCGCTGCCATGCTGATACTGTGTAATCCGTCAGAACTCCCCACTTGACCATCGGTCACCGTTGCCATGCTGATGTTGTGTAATCCGTCAGAACTCCCCACGTTACCACCGGTCACCGTTGCCATGCTGATGCTGTGTAATCAGTCAGAACTCAACACGTTACCACCAGTCACCGTTGTCATGCTCATGCTGTGTAACACATCAGAACTCCCCACGTTACCGCCGGTCCCCGTTGTCATGTTCGTGCTGTCTAACCCATCAGAACTCCCCACGTCATCACCAGTCAACGTTGCCAGGATCGATCTGAGCACATCGCACCTAGATTAGAAGCGCCAGGTAGCATTAGGAATAAGTTTGTGAACTAAAATTGAACGATGGAAGTGGTGTGCACCGGCTGACACGATGGTCGGAGATGCTGTTAAGTCCAAAAAGCTTGTAAATCACAGAGAACAGACGGACAGCGAGCGAGTTTGCCGTCGGCGGTTCGTGCCAGGTCAGATCGCGTGTCATGGTTAAGCAGTCATGAGCGGCGGACAAGTCGTTAAAACTGTCTGGTAAGTCGCCAGGCTCGGACTCTGCCGTTTAAAATAGATCAGGCAAGTTGGTTAGGCGCGATGTCACCAGATTAACAGGGGCTGTTAAGTCCTACCGTACGTTTGAGTAACTACAATACCGACTTATTTTCGGAATTCTTTGACGTACTGGTTGACGTAGACAGGAAGTAATCATAAAGCAAGGTAAGGAATTGGGCATGGCACCACCACAATAACACCATCTGTTTGATCTCGCCGATGCGTTTGAACAAACACAAAACCATTTCTTAAGCAACTTTCGTACTCACAGTGCTGTGAGATAGAGAGCAGCAATATTTTCTTGAATTATGTCATTTTCATTCACTAACGCCTTATCACGTTTTTTAATGGATTCCAAAGGGAGCGCTCTTACGTTTAAAATGTCTTTCAAGTGATTTGCATGGAACATTCAGGCCAGAGTACACACTAAACGTACCTTATTAAGGGGTTCTAAAACTACCACCAAAGGAGCACTAGTTTAGTTCAAAGAACATTTTGGCGCCGGGCGTTTTGCCACACCAGGCCGGTGAGGGTTATTTCATTTTACACATTTTTTCTACAGAAATTGTCTCTCTCCTCTCTCGGTATGTGTCGGTCTCTTTCGGGATCACCCAGCTATCTCAGGATCTTGATCTCTCATTCCACTCGCGAGATTCATTTGCCTGAGGGCACGTTGCGTATATCATTGCATGAATCTCTGGATATCGCATCCAATGACAGCGTAGCATCATCGTCACTTTCACACAAAAACAAAGGGCTCTTTGTCCCTGGTTCATCGTTACAGGTCACAACAAAGCAACAAGCTAATACCCCGTGTGCGCTTATCCTCATCACACTCATCCCGTTGCATGTATAAACTTTTAATGCGTTCCAGGGAGTATAACAGAGCTGTACGATCAAGCTGTTCATTTCTGAATTTTCTTCGGTGCGCATATCGCCTAACTAGTGCAATAACCAAACCACCGAATGATACAAAGTACGCACACACTAAAGAGCGTCCCAGCTCATCTCATTCCTTATTAGGTCGCGAACATCCCAATCCACACTCACGGGTGGGAGGTCGCTGGCTCAAGCCTGACCTCGGATGCACTCACGTGCAGTCTCCTGCCAGCCAGCCCGCTGGAACCAGTACCACTGGCACATCAGATCCTGTGCCATTCTAGGCTCCTCCTCCGACCGGTGCAGCTGCCCGGCCGGGTTCACGCGGTGCGCCGGCCGCTGCCTCATCCGACTGGACGCTGCACTCACCAACACGGAGGCGCAGAGCCGCTGCCAGCAGCGCGGCGCCCACCTGGCCGTCCCGCGTACCGAGGCCGAGAACCAGTGTGTCATCGAGGTCGCCTCGAGGAGGCTGGTGTGGCTGGGGGTGACCGACCTGGGCTCGGAGGACGTGTTTTGGGGCGTTGACGGCTGCGGCACGGTCCCCTGGTGGGGGTCCAGCTTTCCTGACAACTTTTGGGGTGTTGAGCATTGTGTAACACATATGCTGAGTAATTGGAACGACGTCGATTGTAGAAGGCTGTACCATCCCCTATGCCAGCTGGACTATTGCAAGGAGACCATGTGCCAATAGGAAACGGACAGGAACTGGTCCTACGCTTGGGCGCGTAAGGCGTGTGGTCTGTCCGGCTCACGTAATGGCCCACTCACGGGACGTTTCAACTGTTTTTCGACGTCTGTTGTAAACTCTTGTTGGAGCAGTGGGTAAGAGGCCTTTTTAGACGTGCAATGAGTGAGTTGGTGCCAGGCTGCAGGATAATTGTGTCATCGCCGCTTAGAAAGCATCGAGACGTAATCGAATAGCGCCTGTCGGGCTGGGAACACATACAACCAGTTCTTCACAATGCGATGGAAGACCTCGTTTCAGCTGGCTTAGGAGACCGTGGCGTTCTGATGTTTAGCGTTGGTTCATACATTTATCAACACCATTACCTGAGCATTGCCTGGCTTTGTGGCTAGCTTGGCCTTGCCATTTTGACGGACGAAATCGATGAAGTAACGACCAGCAGAAACGAAACAATGACCAGCAGTTCGTGCGCCGGAATGTCTGGGTCTGGTAAACAATGTCAGACAATCTGGTGAAAATGTCTCCAAGCTGCACACCAGCCAGGCAGTCTTTGCGCATCCCAGGGGCATTCTGCTCAGCGGCCATGTACGAAATCGGCGCAGCTGAATGGTGCACGTTTTAGGCGATTGTGATGAGGGTGTTGAGTGATTGAAATACGATGCATGAATGTTGTGGAAATAAATTGGATTGAGCGACGAAGCAGTTTGCATGATTAAGATACTATGGTTTAGGCCATAGCATATTTCATTCGAGCGTGCAAGGCAACAAAGATAACTGAATATGTCCGTGATGGTACCATTACGGACGAAAAGAATGGAGTTGTAGTGTGAAGCAAGCAAATTCGACGCTGATATGCACGCATGCAGCTGAATATGAACGTGCAAAAACGCGATGTGCAAAAAGTTGTTCCGCTTCGGCATCACGAGAAAAGTTGTTAATCGAACCGATAATTATGTTTTACACTTCAGTGGTCAACGGATGGAACTCTGAATAAGCAGCCCATGTATACATCTTATTGGTGGAGGTCACTTAAGTCACCTTTTTGAGATGTGCAGAACATTGTGCATGATAAATATCCTTGAGGACAGTAACACTAAGCATGCGTCTTCGCCAATACGAAACTGCGCGTGCCAACTGCGCGTGCCCACTGCTATGTTTGGTTGGGTACTGGCGCGAACAACTAAATACGGATGCAAAAGTTTGTGTTACACGAGATGGTGATTTTTCTTACGTGGTTTTGCCGTTAATAAAAGCGACCTCGTGTTCTGATGAATCTTGACGTTGCAATACAGGATAGTCTCACGTGCAGCCGGCACAGTAGGGGGGGGGGGGGGGGGGGCGGGGAAGACAGTAGAGTGAGTAGCATCATGTCCAAGTAGTATCAAGGCGATTTATCCCAACTCTATGCGACGGTTGGTAGTCTCAAGTCACTCATCTGACGGAAGGCAGAGCTCTGCCTTCCAGTGTACTTCTGGGCTCATAGTGTACGCATGTTAGGGTGAGCGCGAAAAATCTGTATTTTGGCACGGCATTGGAGACTATAGCGATCGGTGTGAGTGATAGTTCATAGGGTCACGGGATGGCTGCACGAATCGAATGGTCTGCCGAATGGTGGG